GGGGGCGGGCGGGCGAGCGAGCGAGGGGCCGCGCGCGCCGTACACAAAGCGGCCGCGAGACGCTGTTGGCGGGGAGGAGGAGGAGGGAACGCGAGGGGAGGGGCTGCTCCCGCTGGGCGGCGGGATACCTACTCGGTGCTTGGAAGGCGGAGTGATCCGCGCCCCCCCCTCCTCCTGTTGAGGCGGGGAGTGACCCCCTGTGTGAAGCGCCCCATGCTAGAGAGCCCCTGCCTCAGCCCTGTCTGCAGGGGGAGGGGAGAGGCTGCACCCCCTCCCCCTTTCCCCAAGCTGGTGCTGGGTGGGCGGCCATGTTGGGCAAAGGGATTATTTTTTCTCTCCCTCTTTTTTTTTTTCTTCTCAGCAGCCACAATGAGCTGAGGCTGGCTGGCTGGGGGAGGTGCGGCCCCGCCTTTGCAAAGCAAGAACCGACAGGGCATTTGCTTCAGGGGTCTTTTGGCGGGGGGGGGGGGACTGCTCTGACCCCCTGCCTTGTAATCAAGGGGGTGCTTTGTAATTCTCTGAGGCCTGAGTCGCTCCCCTTGGCCTGCCGCTTCTCTCTTCAGGGGCTCCTCTCGGTCCAGGGGGTTTCCCTTGGCAAGCTTGCTGCTTGGCTCCCTGGCTGAGGGGGCTTGCCCTGGGCGCGTCAGCGCTTCCCTCTGGCCCCCAGTGAAACCTCTTAGTCCTGTTCTCCTTGGTCTGCCTGCCCCACAGGGTGAGAGGTGTCGCCTTGGCCTGACAACTGCTTTTCTTTCCCCCTTCAGAGTGATTGAGGATGGCTGACGCCAGGGCATCCTTTAAAGTTACCTTCTGCTTCCTATCTTCATCTGCACATGGGACATGGAGAATGTTCAGGTCCAGGCAGAAACACCCCCCTCTACGCATGCACACAGACACCAACAACACGTACTTTGCTTTACTGACTTACAGTAGTTGTAGCTGTTGGCAGGGCACACCAAATGTCTGCAAGTGACTGACCATGAGGAGGGGGAGGCCGCTATTTGTTTCTGGAGATGTCCTGTAGTGGTTTATGACAAATGGGCCTGCCCCATTCTACACCCAGCTATCCCATATCTCGCTACTTGCGGGTCATGCCAATTGTAACATCTGCCTCTGAATACAAAGTGTAGCTAATTATTATATATGCATTCCTAAGTTGCCCCTGGGTATAAAATATATTGACATAAATTACATCAGAGACTGCCTGTCTGATCCATCCACTGCATCATCCCAAACGTCCTCCAGCTTGTAGCTGCTCTGAGCCTCCAGCGTGTCTTGCGGGTTCTGCAAATGTTATGGTTGCCCGTTGTGTGTATGTGCACACATCCCAACACACGTACGCACACACTTCATGTATGTACATGCACACTTGCACACACTTTGTACATGTGCACACACCTTGTTAGTATTTGAGCATCTGTACCTCTATTAACTGGCCATGACCCTTGAAGTGGCTCCATATGGGCAGACCTTTGTACCTGCACATATACCCACTGAAATTAGCAGAGCGCTATGTGGAAATCGCTTGCACAGAGCTGGTGGTTGAATCAGAGCCAAGATGATGCACATACTGTTAGGTTCTAGGCAGAACAGGCTCGCAACTTATGGGTAGGTCTGGTCTCATACAAGATCTTCAAAGTATAGGACCAGTCACTACGCACAGATATATCAGAAAGCAAGTTTTAATTCTGCCATTTGAACTACGGGAGCAAATAATTTTAATTAATATATTATTATATATTTTCTATATATTAATATAATAGGCATCCCATGCTTGAAAGCTTTAATAATAAAGTGAATAAAGTAATAACAACATAGACAATTTAATAAGCCTTTTAAAATAATCACTCTAGATGGTGAACTAAAATGAAACACATCAGTTAACAAAGAGTACAGTTGTCTTGTCCTGCAAGTTGCACCTCAAGTACTCAAACCCATCCCCTTCCATATGAGATGCTGCACAGAGGTTTAAAATAGTCATATCAGCAATGATGAGATGGTCACATAAGATCCAATACCTATTCTTTTTCTTTCCTGCTTAAGAACCAGTGTTATATGTCAAAGTTGATGGAAGTTACTTTTCCAGGTTATAGATGGCAAATTATTTCAATAACAGGGGGTTATGTCCTGTTCTAATCATGGGATTAGTTTACATTGTTGAGAAAAATTTAATACAGTATCATCAAGGTTCAAAGATGGTACAAGATAAGATACACTTCTTCCTCTGATTGCTTACTGTTAAAATATGGAGGGAAGACAAGGGACAAGACAGCAGCTCAGATGAGGGGAGTGTATAGGGGCAAGGAGAGAAGTGGGACAGACCAAGGAGGTGGGTGTGGAGGGAGATCGTGAAGGACACAGCTTGACTCAATGCACTACTGTACTCGATTTTTATTTAGCATGTTTCTACTTAAGGAACCAAATTAAACCACCTTTTTTTTTTAAGTGAAGGGGTCTGATTTTTAACTTTTTCTGGCCTATCTAAGCAAATGGGGGGGAAAACTGAAGTGGCAGCTACTTAGGGATATAGCACTTTCCCACATTCAAGAATTGTGGAAGGAAACTGAAATGTTAACTAAGATGCACCATAAGTACTCTTAGGTTAAATCATCTAAGGAGCTATACGAACTGACAAACTTGTTTGGCAGGAAGAATGTACATAAATTTACACAGTAGTGTTAAATTAATCTTTGGGATACACATAATAGTCTTAGTCAGCTCCTACAGTTTTTAGCCAAAACTCATTGGGTCATAGCCTGCACCGCAAGGAAGAGGAGTGCAGATTTGTTGTGGGCAGCATACCTTCCCCTTTCTTGACACTCCTCTTTATTGCCCCACAATCCCCCCTGACTGGGAACAGTCCCAAAAATCTTGTGTACTTTGGGGTATGCTCTGGAGAGACGCACATGGGTCCTTTGCACCACCTTGCTCAGTAGTGCTCAACCTCAGGGTTGTGGATCCACATCATCCAGCTCATGCAGCTCCCTATAGATCCAGAAATTTGGTGGCAGGGGAGCAGCGGAAGCACTAATCACTGCTTCTCTGTGGGGACCCACAGGGAGTGCTGCAGACTGGATAACATGGGCTGGCACACTGGGTCATGTTGGTGTCCTGAATCGTGTCTGCAGACCAACCCCACTGGGGATCTGGCCCACAGCCTGACTCCACACTATTCATCCCATCCCGGTGCTGGAAAGTTGGGCACTTCTGCCTTAGCTGGATCAAGGAGACAGTAGGACAATGATGAATCGGGTCTGTTGACTTCAATTACTGTTTTATATAAGGATCTGGGATTGGGTCTTGTGTGTTCAAATTAAAATTAGTATGTCACAGTGTTTTGGATGAAATAAGTCCTTTCTTTTATGTCAAACCTAGGTTTGCTAGATTGTATTCAGATTTCCCTGTGTTAAAGTTATTTCCTCAAGTGGCTTAGTCCAGATGCCCAAGATCTATGCTACTTTGTTATAACCTGTATATTTGAACCTAAACAAGTCAGTTCATTACTTCTTGCCTGAGTTTCTCTAATCTGTAAAATGGTAATGATGATACTTCTTTATCTCGTGTGTTCCGAGGATTAATTAGTGTGTGTAAACTACTTTTGAATGTTTGGGATTAATAAGAGAATTGCAAAATATTTAATCTTTAAACACAATTTTCTCTTTTTATTTTCAAACCACCCATATAGTAAGAAGGAAATCTATTTATCATTTATTTAGTAGGAAGGAAATTCATATGATCTGATATTCTGTTCTTTGGACTGATATTGTGTGGTGGATGATTCTACTGTTGAGCAAAAAGTGGGCTGTGAACAGTGTCCCAAAATATACCAATCTGTATTTTTAATTATAAAATTCATTTTAAAAGTTTTTAGACCAAGGGTATCATATCTTATTATGTGAATTTTTAGGATGTTGCAGAAATATTATTTTATTTTAACCTTTTTAAAAAAAAAAAAAAAAGCAAATTATGTGCATGTAATCTGTGTGTGGTAACTGAATTTTTTGTTAAGGAATATCAAGTAATATATAACCTCATGACTTTTAGAGATCACATCATTCAGACACACCTGCCTTATTTATTCTACAGCTGTTATATAAAACCCCACTATCCACAGGTGCTTCTGATAATGGAAAACATTTGGGATTCTCTCCAGTAAATCGGTACTGAATGAAGTTTATGGACTTATACCAGGTTAAAACTTACCTTAGCTAGGAATAAGACCCTTGGCTGTTGAGCTGGTA